AACCAGTGTGTGGGTGAACCAGGCTGTAAACTAATGCTTGTCACCCTTTATTTCATTCTTGACCCCCTCATGGAATAGCCTTTGTACACATTTTTTTCCCCTAATCTCCTCCCCCATAAAATGTTAACACCTGTTTACGGACTGTGACTATATCCGCACTTTTTACTTAAAAGTAAGATGTTTTTTCCATCCTCCTCCCCCAGCAAGAACCAAATTTTGCCCCCTTTGAGGTGAAATCACCTCACTGAGAATGTAGAGCTTCTTAGCCTTGGCACTATTGACATTTAAGGTTGGGATAATCTTTTGTCCTGGGTGGTGTCCCCAGACACACTTGCCTCCAATGTATCAGACACGTTCCTACCACAGGACCTTTGCACTGTCTGTTCCCTCTGATTGGTGTCCTCTTCCATCAGACACCCTCCTAGCATCCTCTCTCACTTTATTTAGATCTTTGTTCAAATGACACCTCTTCCAAGAGGCTTTCTGTGACCTCAGGGTCCCTCTTTTCTTCATATCTCATGTGTCACCATCGGGCATTATCACATAGCTTTACTGGCTTTATTTATGACTCAGCCCCTAGCTTGAGAACTCCAGGAGACAGCACGGACTGGAACTCTGGCTTTAAGCCACAGCCCCAAAGATGGTCAATGTTTATGGAATGAATAGCTCTGCTACAGACGAGGAAACGAAGGCTGAAGGTGACAGCTGAAGATCACACACGCAGCAAGTGAAGGGCAAAGGCTGGATTTGAACAGAAGTGAAAACAGTGGACTCAGAGCCCCCCCCAAAACTCTGTCCTCACCCCGCCAGGCAGTGGACAACTCATAGAAGCTTGCAGGCAATCTGTGTCCAGCGAAAGACGGGGCACTCACTCTCCTATCCCGCCGGGTTTGCGGTTTTGGGGGACGCCCCCTTTCGCTCTGCTGATGTCATTTGAGGAAGTGTTTTCTCCAAACACCAGCTCCTGGCGGCCCAGCACCTACGTCAGCCAACTGAGCCTTACCACAGGCCTGGGGGTGGGCAGTTCTTATTTTTCAACCCCAGCTTGATTTATGAGGAAACTGAGGCACGAGGAAATACGATCGCTGGCCCCAAGTCGCACAGCGAGTCAGCGGAGAGGGCCGCCACGTGAATCTTACCTACTGGTCCCCAGGGGAGGAGACCTGGTTTTTAACCTCAATTTTTCCCTTCCTCACTGTGCGACCTTGGGCAAGTCCCTTTGTCTCTGTTTCCTGGGCAGGAGTGCAGAGCCGAGGATGCCGGGAGTTGAAATGCAGGGGTGTCGGGAGGCCCTGGCATCCGCATGGGGAGCAAGCGCGCGGAGGCGGGACGGGAACTCCGCGGCGCAACTTCTCGGCCAAGTTCATCTCGCTCCGCCAGGCGGCAGTCTCCGCCGCGCTTGGCGGGGGTGTGGGACACCCGGGCAGCGGCCTGGTCCCAGCCCCGCGAGGGCGAGGACCCCACTCGCATACTGCGGTTGGCCGGCCTGGCGCCCGCTCTCCAGGGCGCTCAATAAGTATGAAATAATAATACGGGGAGCCGCGACAGTGGCGGCGGCGGCGACTTTGCTATGCTCGAGGACTAGCGTCCCGGAGGCAGGTCGGCGCTGCGAGCGCACACCCAGGCTGTGCCTTTCTCGTCGTCCAGCAGGGGGCGCTCGGAAGGAGGGGCGCGAGGAGAGACCCGCTCTCAATACACATCCAGGGACGTGGGAGTGCCAGGGGCAAGGAGAGGCGGGGGACCCAAGTGGAGACAGAGATCACAGACCAGAGACCCCAGCCTGGCTGCCTCCACCCTTCCTGGGGCCACGCTGTGCCACTCTCGATGGGGAGAGTTTGGGGGCCCAAAGTGGGGGCAGGTCGCTACGTTGGCCCCGCCCCCAATGCAGGCACCCCACCCCCAACCAGAGTCCTCCTCTTCCTCCCTCTCCATCTGCCTCTTGACAGATCGTGGCGGTGCCGTGACTCAGCCGCCTCATACATCCCCAGGTCCGGAGGGGAGGTTTGGATGCCAACCGGGGGTGGGAGTGGGGCGGCGGCGGAGTGCCCTCCCTTTGGGAATTCCTCTGACTCAAATCGAGAGGGCTCGCTGGACCCCCTTTCTGGTGGCTGGATGAATGAGTTCCAACGTGGGCAGCGCTGGAACCCCCGGCGTGTGCACAGCTGGAACCCCCTTTCTGGAGAAACGCCCGTTCTATCCCATTGCAGGTCTTGCTCTTTCTGCCTAGGGGTCCAGGGGAGGACCCTGGCACCAATGCCAGCCCACAGCCCACCCATGGGTCCCAGCCGTGGACAGTGGCACAGACACTGAAGGTTACACAGGCCCACAGTGAAACACAAACCCAAGTCCATGTGTGGATGTGGCTAAGGTTCCTGTATTTTCTAGCCACCTGGGAGAAGTAGGGTCTACCCAGGCCCCACCTCCCACCTGAATCCAGGTCCCTGAGTGAAATCTACTAAGCATGCATTGTGTTAAGCCCTTTACACATGTCCCCAAGCTCACAGAACTCTCAAACTGACCCCCAGGGCAATGCCAACAACAGCCCCACTTTACAGATGGGAGAATCGAGGCTCAGAGATGGTAAGACACTTATACAAAGATACACAGGGCCAGGCCCAGTGGCTCACGCCTGTAATCCTAGCACTCTGGGAGGTGCAGTGGGAGGATTGCTTGAGCTCAGGAGTTCGAGACCAGCCTGTGCAAGAGCGAGACCCTGTCTCTACTACAAATAGAAAAATTAGGCAGGTGTGGTGTCATGTGCCTGTAGTCCCAGCTACTCCGGAGACTGAGGCAGGAGGATCGCTTGAACCCAGGAGTTTGAGGTTGCTGTGAGTTATGAAGACGCCACTGCACTTTAGCCAGGCAACAGAGCAAGATCCTGTCTCAGAAAAGGGAAAAAAAAGACATACAGCTCTGCCATTTCCTGGTTGTGTGAGCTTAGGCAAGAAGAAGAGGTTTTGTCTCTGGGCCTCAGTTTCCCCATCTGTCCAACAGGAATATCTCATGAAGGATGTACGGAAAAGTCCCCGGCATGGAGCCTGAGGGTGAGACATTGCTAAATGGATTCCACTAAAATAATGATGATCATTACCACTCAGCCACTGTCCCCTGAGAGGCAGCACCCCAGAGACCAGGGGTCCCTAGGGCCTTAAAAGGGAATGTAGCCCGGATCCTACTGCCCCCACCCCCTCCTTGGTCTCTCAGGACAGTGACCTGACTCAGTTTGGCCTGCTGCCCTAGTCTTGGCATTTCCTGTTGATTCCAGCTTTGTTTTCCTCCAGCATCTGTGCAGTTCCCTTTGGGAAATACGAGGCCGCATGTGCTGGGCCCGCGACACTTGCTTGCTGGTGGGGGCAAGGGTGCTGGGGCTGGGGTTGCTGGAGAAAGAGGTGGGGGTGGCCTGCGGGGCTGTGACGGCTGCTGGAGACCCCCAGAAGGAACTAGGAAGAGTAGAGTCACAGCCTAGAGGGGACTCACTTGGAAATTTCAGGGATGAGAAGCCCAAATCTGACCATCTTTGGTAATGTCCCAAGCAGCAAAGCACCCATGGGTGCCAGTCACACACGTCGCTGGAGCACACACTGTCAGACCCCAGAGCACCATCAGAGCAGGTACAATAACTAAGAACACCGGGTGGTTGGGGACACCAGGCAGATGGGGGACACAGCCCCCTAGTCAGAGCACCGACTCGCAGATGTGAGCACCTAAGGCAGAGGAAAGCACGGTCGCAGTGTCCCAGTCACAGTGGCCCAGGGAGCACGGACGGTTCCACTGACACAACCACTTTGTCCCTGGGAATGTACACATCGCAGGGCCACAATCACGCACACTTTCACAGTCCCTGCATCCCTGGAGCACAGACACCATCTCACAATCACTGTCTTGGGAACAGACACAGTCACTCTGCCACCATAACTAAGTCCCATGAGGACACACAGTCACCCTGTGACAGTCACAGCCTCCCTGGGGCACACATGGTCACTGTCACAACCACTGTCCCAGGAACAGACACAGTCACCCTGCAGAATCACTGTGGCCCTAGAGCACACAGTCATAGTCACAACCACACTATCCTGGAAGCACACAGCCACACTGTCACAATCGCACTGTCACACTGTCCCTGGAGCACACAGAGTCACTGTGTCACCATCACAGGATGCCAGAAGCCCGGGCAGAGCACGCAGCTGAGGTAGCCACAGCTGTTCATACCCCAACAGCTGGAGCAAACTCAGGCCAGTTGGAGGACAGCACCAGGGCAAGCCCAAGGCACACGCCCTTACTACACTGGCACCTGGGCAGAGCCAGGGACTCCTTCCTTCACCCTATTCTGGGACCCGGCGCCCCCTCTGCACTATGCCCTGCCTCTGGGCAGCTACTGGACCCTAACACTCCTGCCCTGAGAAGGGGGCTCCGGCTCAATGCACAGGCTCCCAACACAGTGCTTCCCCAAGAGGGCCCTCTGGATTTCGGACCAGCTGCTGAACAGTCAGTCCACGAATGCCCCCCCCCTCCAGAATCCGCCACCCCCTGGAAGGACCCTGAGAGCCCCCCAGCCTGGAGTAAACATTGTAGTCCTAGAAGACGTCCCTAACAGAGTGCCCCAAAGGGTACCCTAAACACAGTGAATCCACCCTCAGGACAATGCCCCCAGGAAAGTCCCTCCAAATGGTACACAGTCTAGCTGCTATGCTTGCTGCACTGTCACCGACTAGAATATAGCCCCCTAAAGCTGCAGCCCCTTTCCCGATACCCCACTAATACCACACGCAGCATGGCGCTCCCTAAGTGGACCCCAGGACCGGTTTCAGTAGGAAGCCTCCTGTGCAGTGCACACCCAGGGGCCAGGTCCCGGACGCCCCCGCAGCACAACTACCCGCTTCCGCCCCCGCCAGTCACATTGACCCCACCCGCATCATAGCGCCCCCTGCGGTCGGCGGGTCGAGTTGCGTCCTCTCTGCGCGCCTATCTGCTCCGCGCGCGTCCGCGGCCGGGAGTCTTACCGCCTGCAGTTGCCTCCGCCCGCGCTGCCGCTGCCGGTCCCAGTGCCGTGGAAGGACGAGGGCCAGGACATGCGGGTCGTGCGCAGGCCGGGCCGGTCGCTGGTATCCACGGCGTCGGCGCGCTCTATGTGCCGGTGCGGCGACCGCTCTGGCTCGGCGCGCTCCGCGCTGTCGGAGTAGCCGCGCTGCTGGATACGGATGGGGGTCCGAGGCTGCCGCCACAGGTGCTGGGGGGGTGGCTTCAGGGTGGCCTGGCCCTCCCGGGGCCCGGGCAGAGACAGAGACAGGCTCCTTTCCGAGGGGGCGGCCGGGGGCTCCATAGCGCCGGCCCCCACCTGCGCCCTGGGGGGCCCCGGCCTCTCCAAGCTGCACCCCGCTCAGCTGCGCACGAGCCGATGAGCCCAGGGCCCCGCGGGTGCGCCCGGCCGCGGTAGGGCCATGGCGCCCCGGGGGCGCTGTGGGCCAATCGCCCCCGGGCTGGGCGCCGCGGATTCCTGTCGGTGCCTGGCGCTCTGCTCCGTGCCGGGCTGCGCTCTCCGCGCTCGGCGCCCCGCTCGGCGCCAGCCCCGGCTCCCCCCGCCCCGTCCCGCCC